TTTGGGGTTTTTTAACAATGAAGAAATTGAAACTGTAAGCCCCCATTATTTTTTCCTGTTTCCTTCTGTTTGTCTTGATTTTTTTTATTTACATTATTACTAAACTGTGAGAAGGATTACAAAACAAATGACGATGATACATTGTTGTAATGTTGTGACCCTTTTCTTAATAAAAATCTAAAATATATACAGTATACATTTTAAAAAGTGCTTTGTTTAAACCGGTAACAGCTTGTGGGAAGAAACCAGAGTCCTGCATCTCAACAAAGAATATCTTCTACCCGAGGGAAGAAGCTGGAACATGGCCTTTCCAGAGTGGCCAGAGGAGTAATTGATTATGAGACAAAGGGAATGTGCTCTAGTCTATGTCAAAGTAAAATCAAACTCTGTACCTGTACTTCCAGTTGCAGTGGTGCAGATGTGGGAAGAGAATTCATCGCTGGGTCATCCTTAGTCTTCTTGGACATGTTGAACGCTCTCGGAGCCAAAGTAGCCGCATTTCCACATGAGCTTCTGAATCAAGGACACTTTTTTAACCGTAACCTTGCCTCCAACAAACATGTCCCTACCCTTTGATTCATTTCTGGTATTGATTTTTAGAAGTCTTCCATCTCTTTCACGGCTCCAAATTTTCAGAAAAAGAAAACTTATGCCTGAAGGGTTAACACATCACAACAATTACTTTTTACTCACGCAAAACAACATCGTATAATCAAAGGTGAATAGATTCCAGTTGCATCTTTCTCTGCTCAAACGAATTTCAGAAAAGAGAGCAGCGTGGGCGGATAATAGCATCAGAACGAGGCGTCAATGCTGTTTACTTTGATTCTTTAAAGCTTGTCTGCGATGTGCAAAAGTGCCTTGTTAAAATGGCATGGGTTGATCGAGTTAACGGAATTACGCTGGAACAAATAGAGCCGTTAAGATTAAGACTGGATTTGTTGGAGCCGTAATTATATTTAATTCTAAGAGCATTTTTGGCGTCTCGTAAGTAGTAAGAAAACAGAATCGAGAATCATAAACAAAGCATTTGTTCTTAATGAAGTTAATGAATACAGCATAACAATGTGACGATCAGAACATAAGTAAGTAAGTAAGTAATATTTAGTTATATAGCGCCTTTCACAGACCAGAGTCACAAAGCGCTGCTTTGGGCATCTGTCTCTCCGCTAATGTATAAGTTTTGTCTCTCTTTTGACAAATTAACATGTTTTTGACAAAGTTTAGACTTTAAAACAGCTCTGTTTACTAGAAATCTCTCCGTGGCCTCGCAACAAAATATATTAGTGACATGTTTGTCCCAAATGAGCCAGCCCGGTCTCTGAGGAGCACAGGGACTGGACTCCTGTTAGTGCCCAGACTCAGAACTAAACATGGGGAGGCTGCTTTTCAGATTCATGCTGCTAAAATCTGGAACAATCTTCCTGAAGTTGTGAGACTGGCCTCCTCTCTGACAATGTTTAAAACCAGGTTAAAAAAAATTCTGTTTAGCTGTGCATACAACTGAGCGATTTTATTTAAAAAAAAAAATGAATTATACTGTGATTATTTATTTTTTAATGCTATCTTATTTTGTTCAGCACTTTGAGTTGCCTCGTGTATGAATTGTGCTATACAAATAAACTTGGGCCACCACTTTCCCATATTCACTGACCTTTCAGGATCTAACCAACTAATTATCGAAATAATCAGCAGGTTAAGTGCTCATGTGAGAGGTCATATTGTCATGCCATATCTCTGTCATGAAAAAATAGAACAGTTTTGAAATATAAGAAGAAAGAAGAAGAAGAAAGACAAGTTGTGAGTTTTCTACCAGGACATGTTTATTTACAGCGGCCAATGACAGGAGTCACAAGTGTTCCACAGGTACGTACAGAGAGACATCACTAGATCCCAGCTCCTGCACTGGGCGCGCTCACTGGGACAGTCCAAGAGGAAAGAGAGAGGGGGGGGCATACACTGTACACTGAGCTCCACCACACCCCCACGCAGAGTAGGGACCACAGAGAAGCCGAGGAGGGTGGAGGTAGGGGGGTAATATTCAAATACAAAAGAACATGTACAAATCGTCCCGGCCTCTAGGCACTGTGCTCCCATATTTACAGTTGTCGTAACAGGCAGCCGCGCCGCTTCCATGGCAGGACCATCCATTTGAGATATGCAAGGTACAAGAAAACAAAGCCAGCACGACAAACGGCTTGATAAAAACCGGTGGAGTCTGAGAGAAAGAGGAGGGAGGTGGGGAGCCTGCAGACACATGCATGGAGTGCCGCAGTTGCCCGAAATTAATCACTGTCGACAAGTACATAATCAGTTTTTAGCTATCGGAGCGCACCACCTAACTCACTGTGAGAGCTCTGGCACCGTTCCACCGTCAAAGACCAACGCCAGCCACACTCAGACGACTTTAAAGGGATTACATGTATTCCCGGAACAGCTTCCGACCGATCAACACCATATGGCGGCAATATTTGTCACAAAACTTTCTGGTTTTGAGTTTCAAAGTGTCAACGGGTATTTGGTAGACAAGTGAAAAAAAAAGGTTTAAAGTAGATCATAACTCCATCTAGCAGTGATATTGTATAGATTTAGTTTATTATGGAGTTGAATTGGGATTTTCTGGAAAATAAAAGTGATAAAAACTAATTTAATTGAGAATAAGTTTTAATTGTACTGTTTGGGCTGTGTCTCCTGTTGCGCCTTTACACATTTTTTTTTGGATTTTTCAACAAACATATGGGGAAAATGAATGGGAATTTTATGTTCAGAATAAGAATAGACGGTGAAGTGAGTGGGACTGTTGAGCTCCATATAGCACCCATCAAACAATTTAAAGATTCTGTTGGACTGCCAGTAGCTTTTGTTAAAATGAGAACTCAATGTGACAGAAATCTCATGGGTAAAGGCAATTAATTAATACTATCGACATCTCTAGCCCAAGTTTAAGTCCCTATTGTCCCTATTGTCTTCCACACATGTGACCCCTTTAAACGCCATCCTACATCCTTCAATAGACTATAATTTAAAACAATAACTTAACGAAATAAAATCTGCTCTGATGACATTTTTCATGACACACAATGTAAACACGCACACAAATGTACAAGGAGGAGAAACCCCACGGCGCGTGCAGATACAGTACATTCGACGCACATACATGCAACCTGATTCTGGTGGACGCAGCCCCCGAGTCGTCCTGGTCCATGCATGTATGCGCACACACATTCATACAGACATTTAACAAGCCCTCCTTTGACTCCATCCACAACTAATTATGTCCAGTGTGGCCTACCGTAAAGACTACATTACCCACAATCCATCGCTACTACGCCAACTTGTGACAGCGAGGTGTAAAATGGCATTCGGCGGTCTTAAATAGCGGGAGTTAAGAGAAGGCAAGGCACGCTAATGCTGGAATAACTGCCTCTGTTGAAATATCATGAAATTGCTTTAGGCCATGGTTTCCTCTTTTCCACGGGAATAGCAAATGACATGGAAATAAGTAATATTGCACCATTACTGAAGTTCCGACCAAAAAAACACAAATGGAAAAAAACTATTATTCATCAGAGGGAATGGGGCGAGGGGAAAAAATAAAGTCATTGCATTAAAAAAAAAACACAGATATCCCTCCGGGTATATTTACATAAAAGCTCTGTAAAATACTCTTTTTTTTTTTCAACTTATGTACAACACATGACAACATTAGAGAGATCAACCCACCCGCACGTGTCAAGAAGTCCCAGATATTGATGAAAGAATAAAACCAAGCCATTGATCCATTTGTGTGAGAATTTGTCCGCGCAGCCCCGGAGCCATCGCTCACAGCCCCAGCGTTTACAGACAGAAATGTTGCATCGCGCCGCCGCCACTCCAGCCCGTTGGACATAAAGACATTAATTTTTCAAGTTGTGTACGGGGAGAGAGGAAAATGAGCTTGCAGTGTAGTTCACCTCTGGCGACAGTTCGTTGAGGAGTGACTGAGCGTATTTGTGCAAACGCAACAATACAAATATGCGGTTTCAATCACGGGGCTCACGACGGTGTCACTGTGTGCGTTTGGGCTGAACAACAACGGCATCAATAACGTATCGCAATCGCTGACGTTTCAACAATATCGCTCTTTTTCAATGCAAATTCCAATCTGATAAATTTGCTCTTACGACTAGCCGTTAGCTGCCTGTCGCTACAGCTAGCTAAAAACAACTAGCCAAACACCAGATAAGCTTTGAAGGCATAACAAAGGTTTAACATGCCACCTACAATTTAAATGTGCTCTGGCTCAGCTAACAGATATAGCATTACGAGCACAAAACTAAATCAAAATCTGTATGTTTTTTACGCTATTCTTGCCTGCAAATTGCTACCGTGCTTTGCCGACAAACCAAAGAAATAAGGAAAGACTGTTTAACAAGATAAGTGATTCAAAGCAAAGACGGCTAGCTTATGTGCAAGCTAAGACAACACAACGCAAGATGGCCGACAGCGCATTACAGTGCAAACAAATCGTACCCCGTTTTCTTTTTTGGTTAGCCTCGCCAACGCTTCTAGCTAGTATTCTCCTGAGCTGATAGCAGACTCCCCAATAATTGTAAAAAAAAATGAAATAATACCGAATCCTATCCTGCAGAGCGTTTGGCTGCCGGCACGTTAGCTCCGACAATATCTTTTTTGATGAGTTATCACAGCTGAGGGCACACAGGGGCTATGAACCTCCGTCTGGACCGTGTTGACAGTGCAGACAAAAAAACGGGCAAAATGGATGGACATAGATCACAGAATAACCTTCCACTGATACACTTATCACTCCGGGCGTTGAAAAGGTCGGCCCGTCTGTTCACTTTTCTCTCTACTATTCCTATGTACACGCCTGTTGCGGGGGTCTTTGCTATAAACAGATTTGCTATTGGACTCCAGTGTTGTCATTTCTCTGGGTTTTGGTCTCGTAATCCGAATGTTCTTTTGGTGACGAGGGAGGGGGGAACGTCCCATGTTTATTTTTACGCTTTGCTGATGTTGGGCTGTGTGTGCAGACTGTTGTCGCTGTGCACTTTGATTTCAATCGTATCCGGCTTGAGAGACTCTTTGCCATTTTCTTCCTTCAGCGGTAACTTCCTGCAACAAAATGTACAGAAAAAACAATGTGAGATTTTTGTTTTGAAAGAAAAGTAATTACATACACATAGGACATATGGAGTAAATAATGAAGGCTAAACAATGCAAGCTCGCACACACTCAAATGAGCAGCATTTCTAGGACAAGCACGTACGCAAATGCTAGCTTAATTACCACCAAAGTATAACTATGAAAGGGTGTGGATGATGGATTTCTCCACCAAATGTGCACTTTTAGCCGTACTGCTCACCAGTAATCACCTTTCCAGACCTTTTGGTGCATGAACGAGTTGCCCCCATTGGGATTAATAAAGCTGACTTTAATTGAAACGAGAAGGCAGCAGGATATTAAATAAAACAGCCGCTTGCACAGCAAGTGGCGCTTATTCAAATCCACCACGCCGCACCTGCTTTTGACAGTTTTTGGCCCTTTCAGCACCTTCTATACACGTAAATTTGAATAACTCATAGCATTTGGTGATTGCTCTCTAGTGCGACAAGTCAATACAAAAGTCTAGGCCAGATGGAACATGCTGGATAAGTATATCTGACAAAGGAACAAAGATGTCCTCTGCCACAATGTCCCGATAAGCAGACAAGGTAAGAGGACAAAAATGACACGAGCTTATCACACAGCTGTCAAGTTGTGCTCTTATAGTGCTAAAAATGGTGTCTGTAACAGGGAAGAATGCTGAGTCAGATTCAGAAGGACGGTTAGTGACATCCTCTTTCTTTGGAAGAGCCCAGATTTCTACCGTCATGGAGTTTTTTCCATTTTGACATATTGAAAGACATACACAGGCCTTTTCAAGACGTTTTCCATAGGATTAAATGGATCAAATAGTATTGGACGGATTTGTTCACAGAGAGATTTACTTCTGCCATGACAGCTGGCTATCTGCACATGTTATTTTAATCAAAGCTATATTTTACTATAATACTTTTAGATACACCCCTTAAAACCCACATTTTTCCTGTGCGTTGACATTTGATCTAGTTCACGTCACGATCGATTCTGTTTCACTGCAAAGACATTTATTTTTGAAGGTAAAACCACCAAACTACTCCTCCTCACATCAGTCACTTTACATCTTTTGAAACAGATCTATTTATCACAAGTGAACCAGACCAACAAGTCGGACTAAAATAGAATGAAAAGCGCCGTTAAGACTCCTTCATTGATGAACTTAGATTGGCACATTCCAAGTGTTTAGAATGCTTGGGAAGACTGACGCTTTGATTAACCCATAAAGGTGGCAACTTTCATCGCAGACAAAAAAGGGAAAAGTGTGTCAATCACAAAAAACACCAAACCGAATAACAAACAGAATACATTTGCATATAGAGTGTACACAACAGCCCATCCCCAAGAAATGACTCAATGCACGATAGTTTTAGCATGACATGAGACTGTTTTGCATGCCCTATTGAGTTCCATGTAATAAACTGCCTGGATCTCAGCACTTCCAAACCAGAAGTCGTTGACAATCCATTCAGAGGGCCTATTTAGTGTATAAATAATTCAAAAGTTATGTGAACAAATGTCTATTTTCCATGCTTTCATCTTCAAAAATAAGACCCTTTACTAAAATTCGACAGTGGGATGTCTCGGGGCAATTTGTCATAGCCCAAACAGCTCGTTTTACCCGTAAATAAAAGGCCCTTCAGTCACTTCAGTAAACATGGAGAAGATATAAAAGTATAGACATTGAGTTGTAAATCCTTTCCCACATCAAAGCCAGAGCGCCGTTCATTCTCCGCCGCGACTCTGCAATTGATATGGATTTAATAAAGGGGATCAATAAGGATGCCTGTGTTTACGGCGCTGCTTTTTTGTCATTGTTATGGAGTGTTTTGAGGAGAGAAAAGGACGAGGGCGTGAGTTATAAGCAAATATATCTGAGGGATCGGGAGGAGCGCGCCGCCTTGTTCAATATGTAACATGCTGTAACCCACAACTTTAGCCAACGGGGGTTTTCTATTCACTGCTGGGTGCGATATATTATAAGACCTTTATTATCAGAGCTAGGGATGAGTATGAGATATTTCTTTATTTGTCTCACAGTGGAGAAGTTTCAGTGAACATTACAGCAGCGAAAGAAGAAAAAAAAGAGCACTCAAATAGTCTATTATTTAAGATAGACAATATAATTAAAATAAGATAATAAGATGGTAAAATAGAATAAAATCAAATAAAATAAACTTTGGACCTTTAATTGCACTTGGTTCATCAGTATTTACAGATGTGTATATTGTACTTTAGCAGCAGAGAATATGAGCAGAATAAAGTGCCTAGTGACTACGTTACTAGTGAATTTTTATCAGCGACACTTAACCGTCTGTCTAATGTTGAATCCATGAAGAAAACAATGTAAAAAAAAAAAGGTGATTTTCTAAGATAGGAGCACTAATAATACAAATAATCAGATAAATTATAGGCCTCTACCAAATGTATAGGTGATGCAGTTTGATGGTAAAGTGCCTAAAACCAAATGAGAGAGAGGCCAAGCTTTGAGTAAATATAGAGACGCAAAAAGTGATCCACCAAATGGATTAGGAAAACATTAAAGGGTTACATTTGATTTGATTGTGTATGAAATTGTGTTATTACAATTGTTTATGCAAGCATTACTTATCCATTTTATTAGTTGTCATGGTGACTTCATGCTCATTGACAATGGAAATAGCTACTTATACAATTTATACTTGTGCAATTATACAGGATTTAGTTGTTGATGCCTTTGCGGATGTCTTTTCATGTAGTAAAAATAAACTTAATGCTAGTACATTTGGACCAGACCAGAAAAAGCATTTACTATTGTGTTTCCTCCGCTCGCATAATGTTGTGGTATCAACAAAATCAGCACATAACAAAAAAACGGTTTAGTAACTGACAGCTGTGAAAAGTATTAAGAATCCTCCCTACACATTGGGAAAAATCAATGTCTCTTTGTCTGTTGCTGATCTTGTTTGACCTCCTGTACCTCTGAGAAACGTGATCCTAGGGTGATCGCGATGACATTATGACCTCAAAACTTGAACATCTACAGAAATTAGCATTTGCAGAACCAGAATTCAAGCAACGCTGCTCTTTGACATTTGACCCCGCAGCATCTGAAGTCATCTTGCCCACTAAGTACACATTTTCTTGAAAGACTGAAGAGAAAAATACATAAGAATGGCTCTGTCGCACTTCAAGGTGACTAAAAACATTTGACATGTGTGGACGGCGTCTTGAGTGGCCCAGTTTCGGCCATGAATCATCTCAAGGTGATCTGTCCTATAGACCGCTCCAGACAATGAAATATACATCAATGACAACTTCTTTTCAGACGCCTCGCTGCAACTTTGGATTTTCTTTCTCCTTGGTCAAGTAGAAACCACGTAAAATGTCAACTAAGGATTTCATCAGATTTGTATTCATGCATGCCTTCTTGTTTTTATTCTGCTTTAAAGATGCAGTCAGTGATTTTTTCCAGACGCATTTTTTAAAATATTGTGGGAAAACGTCCCTAAACCCTAAAAGTATCAAGTTATCATGTGTTTTCAAATAGTAATGGAATTGACCAGATGTCTATAGTCTACAAAAATGCATAAAAAAATATTTTGGAACGGACCAATAAAAATAAACCAATGGGATTCGTTCATTCCCAACGGACCAATGGGATGTGTTTACCGCCTTCATCCTCTTCCTGTTTCTCGTGAGTGCACCTGAGTTATGGGATTTTCTCAAACCCGAAAGGGCTGAACAGAAAAGGCCAATTTTACGTTTACCGCCCACTCTCCCTGTTGTGACAAAGAAAAGAAAATGCTGGATGTTTGGTTTGGTGGAGAGGGAGGGAGGGGAGGGGCGAGTGGTTTCCAGTTGGTGCTACGGCTAAGCTAACAACATCACTCACTGCACCTTTAACTTGTTTGCACCGAGAGCCAAAGCAATTTCCTAGTTTGTGACTTCCTGTTACTCATGGCAATAAAAAGGATTCTGATTCTTATTCTAATTCTTGTAGTAGAAATAGTATTAGTTTGTAGAAGTAGTGAGACATAATTAGTAGCAGTATAATTTAGTAGCAAAATTTTTTTTATATTGTGTAATCATCGGAAGTAAGACTGCAAGATAAATTAATAATATAATAAATTCTTCTATCATTTCATCTAAAAACAGTGGAATCATGTGATCAAAATGTCAAATATCGATGTAAGTGTCAACTAGTTTATTATCCAATCAGGTGAATGTCTCATCAGTACGGATGTGTTTTGAGTTAAATCAATACATTTCACATCTTTCCAATCATTTTTCTCCTCATGTGTGTTCTCTGATGTCTTCATACACCCGTGTCCCATTAATCTCGCCTGCGGTGATCAGCCAGAGGCGGCTTCCCATTGGTTGATTGGTGGCGGCTGTACTTCCTGCAAACTGGAGCCAATTTCATGTGTCATTAAGCTCATGCAAACGCAGATCGTGGCGCGGCGGCGGTGGTGAGGAGCCGTGCACATATGGGAGGTCCGCGGCCGCCTCTGTGTGCTTTGTAAAATCATGGAAGTAATGCAGCTGCTAATGAGGGCTACGGCGGAAACAACTAGAGCAGCACATATCGGGAGAATGTCTGCATCAGGGTTTGGGCTCGAGCTGAAACCTGCAGCCTCCGAGGGGAAAGATCAACACATTTGTTTCTATTATCAAAATCAACATGAATGAGATTGCTGATTACGAAGGGTGTGACATGACGTATGTGTTAATATGAAGATTTGTTTGGAGTCCAGTCTCTCTCCCCAAAACCTTCAAACAAGGTCAGAAATCTAGGGGTAACACTGGACTCAGACTTAAATTTTAATAGCCACATTAAATCAGTAACATCAGCAGCTTTTTACCATCTAAAAAACATTGCCAGGATCAAAAACATAGTGTCTAAAGCAGACTTGGAGATTCTTATCCATGCATTTGTCTCCAGTAGGTTAGACTACTGCAATGGCCTGCTCACAGGTCTGTCCAAACAGAATGTA